AAGTGTAAGATTAATTTATAAATCAACCGCCTTCTGTCATTCATGAAATTCCATTGACATTCCAAGGTTCTATATCTCCGTGACTTTAAAGCGCTCAAAAGTTTAAACACATACGATAATCCTTGCACGAAGATAGACGGATACTTGGATTATTTGTTCGCATTTATACCTCAGTTGACATATTGTCAATATAAAATGATATCCGAAAACGAGCGTCAATCTGCCATCGACAAGCATTAGTAATTATTAATTTTACTATACAAAAGAGAATTTTCCAAACTTTTTGTAAATTAATAATTACATTGTTTTATTTTTATAGTCGTAGAATTAGTAATCTTAAAGAAAACGAGGCGAAAATACAAACAGAATTGGAGTTGCAACAAGAATTTGAAAATAAAACCTTATTACTATTTGCATCATACGTGGAGCATCTTGATGAAGATTATTTGTTCCAACAAATGTTTTCTTCTGATAAAGGTAGATTTACATTTCATTTCTTGTTGTAAATTGTTGTTTACAAAATATAATTTATTTAAACGTGCAAGTAGCAGGTAGAACGTTATCCATGATAAATGAAAATACACAAAATGCATTCGAGGAGTACAAAAAGTCTTTCGTTGACATATGTCACGAATTATATGAACTAGGTTTACGAGAGAATGATAAAAGAGCGGAGGAAATAAGATTATTTAAAATTACTGTTAACGAAGGCAAGACAAATATGCAAAATGAAGCAAGAAGGTAAAGACAAAATAATTATAAGAATTAAATGGGAGTCCACTTATAAAACTGTGATTATTTTAATTATGATCTATTTTAATTATTAATGTGATAATGACTATATTACTTATGCAACATCTTTCTTTATTTTAAGGATTGTGAATGAAGTACTTGAAAAAAGGACAACGATATTTGCAAATATAAAATATGAGATGGAAACTTTGGTAGAAAAACAAGAGCAGGAAGTTGAGAGTACCATCGCAAAAGCAAGAGAACTATTTCATGAATTCAATGACTTATTGTCCAAGACACAAAATCAGTTAATATCTAAAGAAATTATATTGCATGATCAAATGGAGGTACGTGCATATGATATTAATTTATAAAAAAAGAAGTATAAAAATAATCATATTATTCAGAAAGGACGATTTATTTTTTATAAAAAAAGGATATAAACGAGGTGTTCAGGATGAATATAACAGCTATGGTCAACTCGTTCCTAGAAACTGCACGAGAACACTTTTCGCTATTACGAAACGCAGAGGAAGAATATAATAACATAATTGAATTAGTTTTACAGTCTCTAAGTGATTTTGAGGACGAGGCATTTCTTAAGGATCTATGCTGCGATAACGATACTTTGACTACTATTCTTGCTGCCTCGCATGAAACACACTTACAAGTAAATATTTATTATTATTACTATTAGTTTTTTAAATCCTAAATGGAGTATAAGCTTATATCAATTTTTTATCTGCGAGTTTCTTGCGAGAATTTCATATTTCAATTAATTTTTTACGGGAATTGAATATTAGCCTACTGTCCAACTCTTTTTAAAGGGTAATAAGTAAATATTAGAAGTTTGAACATTATTAAAATAATTAGCAACTATTATTATTAACATAATCTATAGGTGATAGATGATCGAGAGAAGCACATGATAAATCGACTCAATAATTGGCTTAAAGACTATATCAATCAGTTATTTGCGTAAGTATAAACTATTATTTCGGTAAAATTTATAATTTGTTTGTATTTTATATAGAACAATTTTAATAAATAGGGATGAGATTAAAAGGAATCGTCAGCAAATATTCGAAATATCGCATTTTTTTGAATTTCAATATCAACAACTTAATTTGTTAAGCTTACCACAACAGTTAGACTTGGCAGACATTGATCTAGATCATGACGATTAATGGAAAATTAATAATTAATATAAATTCATCGTTACCTCTTCTGTTAGTATGGAAATAAAGTTCAAGAAATAGATTCAAGTGTGATATTTGTTAATATATAGTATGGAAATATATATTCTGATATAAAATATATATATATATAATATATAATATAATATACCTCTATAAAATATATATTGGAATGACATCCAATTGGACATGTTACGATTGGACACCACTCGATTAGACCCGTACAATTGGATATAGCATGATTGAACATATTGTATAATATAAGAGATAAGTGACAATATGAGAAAAGTATCAGAGTGTTCCAAGATTCGAATCGAGGCTTGGTTTCCTCCATTGGTAGACTTCTTACCGTCGAACCACACAGATGCTGACGCTGATACCTCTCTGCTGTGTCTATTTCTTCTAAATTTCTTAAAAATTTGATACGACATAATTTGACATCACATGATTGGACACCGCACGATTGAATAGCGCACAATTTGGCACCACACAATTCGATGCTAAATAATTCAACACATCGCACAATTCAACACTGCAACTTGACATCAAATAAATCAACACATCATGGCTGCTGTTTGACCAAACAAAACATTGCCCTAAATTGTAAAAAGGAACCTGGGAGTTAATTGTGTATCTTGAAGTAAGGTGAAAATTACAAAAATGAGCGAATTCATTAGATATTGACTAATTAAATTGGGTGCATTCAAAACGACAACCGATTACCGAGCATTCAATAAGCTCTTTCATCTGATTGGTCTATATTTTAGAATCCAATGGAATATGCCAATCAGATGAAAGAGTTTACTGAGCGCTCAGTGAGCGATTGTCGTTCTGAATGTACTCAATAGTCGCGTTAAGCAGACTCTGTTACGAAGCGGATCCGTAAGCGCTCGCTGCTATTAGATGCTCTAGAAGAATATTTCAATAGCAGTGAGCACTCACGGATCCGCTTCGAAATAGTTGAATCTGTTGGGGATCGATTTTGTATCTTCAAATAAAAAATTCAATCATATATTTATTTATTAGATTTTAAGATCTGTCAAGCATTGATCGTGTTCAGGGGATCTATTCTGTATCTTAAATCGAGGTGAAAATTACAAAAGTGAGCAAATTTAGATGTTGACCAATAAAATTATCAGTATTCTAAGTAAATTCGTTCACTTTTATAATTTTTACCTTGTTTCAAGATATAAAATCGACCCCTGAACATAATCAATATTTGACAAGCCTCAAAATCTAAGAAATAAATATATGGTCGAATCTTGCCATCATATTGGCTGCGATACTGGCAGTACCGCAGTCAATACGGCAAGATTCTAATCCAGCTAGTAATCCAGCAAGAAAATAATCATTGTGTGCCACAGGCTTTAAATTAAAAAGTACAAAAATTGAGTATTCGTACAATATTTCTTTTAGTTCATAAATAAACTATTTACAATTAAAAAATTGATTTACATATTTTACGGCTTTATTTTTCCAAACTAAGTACGTTTATACAAATACATGAGTTTGAAAATAGCCGCGTCTTACGTTAAGATGGAGGCAAATTTGCACCGTTTGCGATAGAGACCCTAATTTGTAAGGTCTCTAGTTTGCGGTACTTTATAAATATAGTGACTTTAAGGACGGCTGATTGCCCAATTTATAGGTACTCTAATTATAAGTGGGCGCGAGTTTGTATCACTGAATCACCGCTCGTGTCTTCCTCGAGGAATAGAGATAGAGACGAGCAACCAAGGAGTTCCAATGTTGTGTCGCGTGCTCTATCTACGCCTGATTAGCGAAGAACCGAACAGATTCATTTTGCATTTGCCCAGCCACTCAGTCGCATATCGAGTTTAACCGCAAAGGGTCCGCTGGCGGTGCAAACGTGCCAATGTGACGATTTAATGGCGAAATCTGTTACGTTCCGGGCGCCACGGCCGAGGAGATACATGTAATTTTGCACGCAAGTATTTCTTTGGTACTTTCCAATAAGCGACACAGTGATCATGTCATCTTTGTTTAATATTAGCAAATAACATTGATTTGTGTGAACAGTGTGTTTCATTGTGTCTCTTGCCGGAAAGCTCTCCTTTATTTGTCCTACTTGTGTCACTTGTCCCCAGAACCTTTTAAATAAGCGAAATGTAATGTTCTAATAGAAACTGACACATAAACACATATTAACCTTATCTATTAACAAAGTCCAGGTGGATGTGTTTTACTAAATTGTGTTTATTATAGATCTGTTTTTTTTAACTGAACTTTTTGCTCGGGTCATCTTTTTTTTTCCTCCAACATGAAAAGGTAAAGAAAGATAAACCATAAAAATTCAGTGAAAAAAAACTGGCCTTATGTCTTATATCATCATCCTTCTATAATCTTTATGTTAGTCACACACAGTCAAGTAAATGTATCAAATATGGCATGTACAAATCGCACACATACATATAAGTTTATTATAATAACTAGTTTTGTCACACACATTCCAATAAATTTATATCAAATACATATATGACTTATATATGCATACTTGTTAAGCTTGCTTGAATATGTGTGACTGGGCTTACAGATGAAGCTGCTCGGCTGGAGACTAGTAGAGAGTTATTAATGAAACGGCATGCTTGTAAGAGTCTGGCCGCACATCGCCACGTGGGATGAATGAAGAAGAATTGTTGAAACGGTCTGCTGCAGAGCGTGATAGGATTTTCAGTTGCTATGATCGCGGTAGGGAGGGTGCTGAGATTGATCCTTGGGAGGATCCTGCTTACGAAGTTTATCACACTACAGATAGATATGGATTTATACAGTATGCATTTAGAATTTGATTGTATATAAAGTATAACCTTATCTTTAATCACCTGAGATAACTGTTTCTCTTGTTGCAGTGATAAGAGGTTACCACAGAAACGGGATGCATTTGAGGTCAAGTTGCACCACGTGGAGATGGAGAGATTGAAGAAATGGGAGAAAATGACAAAACAATGGGACAGTGCCTCGACAAAGGAAAAACTGCGTCGCAGAATATACAAAGGAATTCCTAACAGATTTCGTGGTCAAGTATGGATCCTACTTCTAGGAATAAAGAATCTGAAGAAGGAGCAGGCGGGCAAGTATGAAGAGATGTTACAGTTGGCTCGCCAATGGTCCACGGAGATACGACAGATTGATGCCGATGTTGCCAGACAATACAGAGATCATATTAATTATAGGTGTGATACTGTAGAAATTACACGTTCGTTCTTTATTATACGAGCTATGTATCTGAAAAAAATTGAAAAACAATAATTTTTTTTAGAGAGAGATATAGCATAAAACAAAAGTCTATGTTTTACGTACTGGCTGCCTACAGTATGTACAACATGGAGGTAGGATATTGCCAAGGAATGTCCGTGCTAGCCGGTCTGCTGCTGCTTTATATGGATGAGGAAGACGCTTTCTGGGGCCTTTCTGTGTTGCTTGCCGATCAAAAATACAGCATGCACGGTTGGATTTTTTTTTCATTTTAAAATAAAATGATTTAGTGATACCTTTTTTAATAGCATATCATGCTCTCTTAAAAAAAAAAAAAATATATATATATATATACATATACATCAAAGGAATTTAAATTTTATTGTCTATGTATTATAGGTTTTTGAATATGAATTAATATGTTAAAATAGAAAATTATCATTTAACAAAATTTATTTGCGGGTTCCTATATAAATAGAAAAACAAATACAATGTAAACTTTAAATGTTAAAGGCTAATATCATATTTATGAACCTCTGGATAAGATTAGCATTTATTGATATATTTAAGTCTTTATATACAATACATTTTACAGGCTTTTACGTCGATGGATTTCCTAAATTAAACCGCTTCATAGAGCACCATGACAAGATAATGAACAAATTTTTGCCGAAACTAAAACGGAAAATGGATAAGTGCGGCTGCGATTCTATACTCTATGCCTTGAAGTGGTTCTTCGTTGTTTTTCAAGAGAGAGTAGGCTTTCTTCTTTATTTCTTCCTAGATTGCATCTTTTAAAACGCATATTAATACTATTATTTTTTTAATCTCTCGTTTTGCCTATAAAGTTTTATAACACTTTTCTGACATTTTACTTTCTATTATGTGTGATTTGTACCGATTATTTTAACGATTATTTCTAACATTAAACAACCTCGACAATCCAGTTAAAATATTCTTATTGATATGTGCTGAATATAGTTTGTAGGAAGTTTATTGTTTATAAGAAATCTTTTTGCTACATGTGATGAAACATATGTGATTCTTATGAATTATATAATTTTATATATTACAGTAGTTTTATAATATTAAATATTAGCAATGTCTGTATTTTGTAGACTCCCGTTAGTCTCGGTCTCCGTATCTGGGACATATTTCTATTGGATGGTGATCGCATGTTACCAGCAATGGCGTATACTGTTATGAAGCTGCATAAGCGCTATTTGATGCCAATGGAGAGTCTTGATGAGTTTTGCAACTATCTACAGATTAAATTGGAGAAGGATTTTTGCTTTGATGACGACACCGTGATAAGTACGATAGAGCGCAGCATGGAAGAATTAAAGCGTGCCAAATTAGATTATCCAGGTGCTCCGTTGCCACACGAACTACCTCGCTATCCGTTTGGCACTTTCCAGGAGCCTACTTTTACCAGCAAGGTATTGCTAGAACGCCATTCTTTGGTTCTTTATCTATTATATCTATCTGTCTATTAACACTAGATGCAATAAATGCAATATTTATGTCATATCCCTTGAATATTGATAAAAATTCATATACATGTGTTTTTTTCATACCAATTGATAAATCTCATTATGCTGTCTATAAAAATATTACGATACGATTATCAAAAAATTAATGGTTTACGAAATATTTAATAATATATTTTGCTTATAAATAGACATTTATAGGCAAACTTTATTTCAATTCAAAGGTATTTCATTCATTCTAAAGATTAAAAGTTTTTTTTTCTCCAAAATAGGACATTTCAATCTACTCAATAATTCCGTTATTTTTGAAAAAGATATAATGACAGATATTGCATTATGTATTATATTACATTGGAGTTATTATTTTACATGGTAAATGTTTTCCACAAAATGTTGTGGAATCGCGAAGTAATCTTATAACAAAAAAATCTCTATTAAATTACTGATATTCTTTCATGATAATTTTATTATATTGTAATCTTATTATATTGTATTGTATATGTTTGTTACATTCATCAGGTTGGAAGGCGAAGCGAAGAGTTTAGCGAAGCTCAGCATGTGATGCGAGAATCCGTGGCGCAGCGCAGGGATATGACATTGATTGACGACGGTAGGGAGAGCACCACGCCTGTTGAACCGACCAGTGGCCTTGGCGGTGAGTTTAGAGATAGCCACGATACATTACACAATAGCACAGACAGTACCACGTGCGTCGAACGCATCGAGTCTGAAGACGAGGATGACACCAACTCGAATGTCCGGATAACAGTTATCTACAACACTAGACTGTGAACGGAAAGTGCTTTATCGTGATAAATATCGCAACGCGAACAATTTTGCTCAATAAAATTTTGCTAGAGATTGAATATAGTTTGTAGAGAGCCCAAGAAAAGCTTTCATCATAATATTAAAGCGTAAGAAGTATGTTACTTATAAGACATGTCATATAAAATGATTTATTTACAGTAGTTCTATTCATTCTGCAGGAATGGTATTAATAGAATATTTTTTTATAATATTAAATATTATAGGCGGTACGTGTTAATCTGCACTGTTGCTTCAGAATTCAGATCGTGCGATTAGGGAAGTAGTCGGAAAGAGATTTAAAAAAAGTGTATATATATATATATATATATTAGT